TGTGTGTGATGGTGCGTGTGTGCGTGCGTGATGGTGTGTGTGATGGTGTGCGTGATGGTGTGCGTCCTTCGTTTGCGTTTTATCGGGGGTTGAGGGGCGGGGGGGGGGAGGTTGGTGGCGCAGCGATTAGCGCGGTGCCCTGCGGCCACAGACCCGGCGAGCCGGGTTCGATTCCCGCTCGCGGTCCAACGGCGGGGCGACGATTGTCTGGGCCGGTGGTGGGCCTCCCCCCCAGGTTCACTCAAACGGGTACCGAGCGCGGTTCGTGGTAAACGTCGCCGCCTGGGAGACAAAGGCGGCCGTGTAAGCGGAGCTTTCCACACCACCCCCTCGTGTGCCACAGCGCCGGCCCTCAAAGATGCCGCTCGCCAACAGCACTTGCCCCAGCAGCCTGTTAAAGGCTCCACGGGGGGTCTTTGCCTTTGTGTAGACAGAGGCTATAAATAAATACAGACTATGTGCGAGATAGGGTAATATTTTTCCGGCGGATATTGCTCCGGCGAATGTATATATGTGTGTCTATATATTCGCTCTTTAATTCTTCATTCACCCGCTGCGTGATTCATATAGCGGCGGTGGATGGAGGAGCGGTGGCGCAGCGGTTGGCGCCGCCGCCGCCGCCGCGCCCGTGAGCCGTAGCCCTCCGTGGACGTCAGCAGCGGCCCTTCCCGCGGCTGCAGTAGCGAAACGTCGAGCGTCGTCGATGGACGGAAACCCCCTCCTTGGGCCCAGCGCCGGGTGAACGAACGCAGCCGCTTCGCTGGGGGGTGACGGCGCGGGGAGAACAAATACACGAGCCGTGGAGGGGTTGAGGGTTGAGAAAGGCTGTGGGAGGGTGGCGGGGGGATGGGTTGCAGCAAGGCGTTGGGGGAAAGAGCCAGCGGTGAGGATGTGAGAGGGGCAGATAGGTGACCCTATGTGGGTTATGGTAGGTGGCCCTATATGGGTCACATGGTAGGTGGCCCTATATGGATGACATGGTAGGTGGCACTATATGGGTGACATGGTATGGGTCACATGGTCGGTGGCCCTACATGGGTCACATGGTATGGTTCACATGGTCGGTGGCCCTGTATGGGTGACATGGTATGGGTCACATGGTCGGTGGCCCTACATGGGTCACATTGTGACCCATACAGGGCATCAGGGTCGGGATCGAAGCCACGACCTCCTGCGTTCCAAGCGAGGTAGTGAACATCTCCTAACCATCGCGGCGTCCTGCGGGTCGTGTGCCGCCCGCCACCTCCTCCAGTCGGCGAGAACGTCGGTGTGTGAGATGTGTCTGTGTGTGTGTGTGTGATGTATCTGTGTGTGTGTGTGAGATGTGTCTGTGTGTGTGTGAGATGTGTCTGTGTGTGTGTGAGATGTGTCTGTGTGTGTGTGTGAGATGTGTGTGTGTGTGAGATGTGTCTGTGTGTGTGTGTGTGTGAGATGTGTCTGTGTGTGTGTGAGATGTGTCTGTGTGTGTGTGTGAGATGTGTCTGTGTGTGTGTGAGATGTGTCTGTGTGTGTGTGTGTGAGATGTGTCTGTGTGTGTGTGAGATGTGTCTGTGTGTGTGTGTGAGATGTGTGTGTGTGTGAGATGTGTCTGTGTGTGTGTAAGATGTATCTGTGTGTGTGTGTGAGATGTGTGTGTGTGTGAGATGTATCTATGTGTGTGTGAGATGTGTCTGTGTGTGTGATGTGTCTGTGTGTGTGTGAGATGTATCTGTGTGTGTGTGAGATGTGTCTGTGTGTGTAAGATGTATCTGTGTGTGAGATGTATCTGTGTGTGAGATGTATCTGTGTGTGTGTGTGATGTATCTGTGTGTGTGTGAGATGTGTCTGTGTGTGTGTGTGTGATGTATCTGTGTGTGTGTGAGGTGTGTCTGTGTGTGTGTGTGAGATGTGTCTGTGTGTGTGAGATGTGTCTGTGTGTGTGTGTGAGATGTGTCTGTGTGTGTGTGTGAGATGTGTCTGTGTGTGTGAGATGTGTCTGTGTGTGTGTGTGATGTATCTGTGTGTGTGTGTGTGAGATGTGTCTGTGTGTGAGATGTGTCTGTGTGTGTGTGAGATGTGTCTGTGTGTGTGTGTGAGGTGTATCTGTGTGTGTGTGATGCATCTGTGTGTGTGTGTGTAAGATGTATCTGTGTGTGTGTGTGTGTGATGTATCTGTGTGTGTGTGAGATGTATCTGTGTGTGTGAGATGTATCTGTGTGTGTGTGTGTGAGATGTGTCTGTGTGTGTGTGTGAGATGTGTCTGTGTGTGTGTGAGATGTGTCTGTGTGTGTAAGATGTATCTGTGTGTGTGTGATGTATCTGTGTGTGTGTGAGATGTGTCTGTGTGTGTGTGTGAGATGTGTCTGTGTGTGTGTGTGAGATGTGTCTGTGTGTGTGTGAGATGTGTCTGTGTGTGTGTGTGATGTATCTGCGTGTGTGTGTGATGTATCTGTGTGTGTGGGAGATGTATGTGTGTGTGTGAGATGTATCTGTGTGTGTAAGATGTATCTGTGTGTGTAAGATGTATCTGTGTGTCAGATGTATCTGTGTGTGTTAGATGTATCTGTGTGTGTGAGATGTATCTGTGTGTGTGTGATGTATATGTGTGTGTGTGTGATGTATATGTGTGTATCTGATGGATCTGCGTGTGTGTGTGTGATGTATCTGTGTGTGTGTGAGATCTATCTGTGTGTGTGAGATGTATCTGTGTGTGTGTGTGAGATGTATCTCTGTGCGTGTGTGTGACATATATCTGTGTGCGTGTAAGTTGTATCTGTGTGTGTGTGTGTCAGATGTATCTGTGTGTGTGTGAGATGTATCTGTGTGTGTGTAACGCTGTGTGGAAGCTACCTGGTCTGTCGCTCCGCACTAAGCTTCAGGTCTTCTCGGCCACGGTCATTTCCTCCCTTCTCTACGCTTGTGAAACGTGGACCCCCCTAATGGAACATCTTCGCTGGTTAGAAACATTTAGGCTAGCCTGCCTACGATCTATCCTGGGTTTAACCAGGCTGGATTGTGTGAGGAGCTCACAAATCCTTGAAAAATCTGGGCAAGGTCCCATCGGTGAGCTCCTCCGGCAGGCAAGGCTGCGTTGGCTGGGTCATGTAGCCCGCATGCTCGGCCACCGCATGCCGAAACAGCTTTTGTTCGGCCGGATGGAGGGGGCTAAACGGGCGCGGCACGGGCTAGAGAAGAGATGGAGTGATGTGGTACAGGAGGACGTGGAGCTGAGTGCACTTGCCGATGACTGGTACCAGCGATGTCAAGATCGGCCTCTGTGGAGGAGGCTCGTTAAGGACGCTACTGGGCAGTTGAAAGTAGTCGCCCTCCAACAACAACGGAGGGCGGAGGAGCGACGCTCACAACAACGAGCGGAGCGCCGGGTGGCTTCAGCACAGCAGGTTGGCACAGTAGGGGGCACAGGTGGTGCATCAGCCAGTCATCTCAGTCATCTTAGTCAGTCGACCCGTGGCACTTGGCTCTGCCCCGTGACCTCCTGCCAGCGGGCGTTCGACACTTCACGTGGCCTCAAGGTGCACATGGCCTGGCACAAGCGTCGTGGTGACGTCACCGCCACTTAGTGGCGAATGGCGGTTGTATTGTATGTGATATATCTGCGTGTGTTCTGTATCTGTGTGTGCATTTATCTTTGTGATGTATCTGTGTGTGTGTGTGTGAGATGCATGTGCGTGTGTGAGATGTATCTGTGTGTGTGTAACGCTGTGCGGAAGCTACCTGGTCTGTAGCTCCGCCACCACTCGACGCAGCCAATTAGTAAGGCTTGTGACGTAAACAAAACACGCCACGCGACGTCGATAGAAAATAATCAAAATTGTATTTTTTTATTTACTTTATTATCTTCTATCTACGTGACTTTACCGAAAGAACCAAAGAATATGAATTCCTGCAGTCACGAAAGTTTTCAATCAAAATTTCAAACATGCCAATTAGTAGGTCTTGTCACGTAAACGGAGCGTGACCAATTCGTTACGAGCTCAGCACACCGGTTGTGTGTTGGAGAGTAAACCCACGACGACGTTCACAGTTGTTGGAGAGCGGTCGGGCAACCGGTTGCGCGCGGCAGGGACGGACCCCCGCTCTCAAGCGGCGATCTGCCGGGCGCGTCCGTAGCGACGTGTCCCCACCCACAAACCCACCCCGTCGCGCACGCCGCACGTTAGCGGACCGAGGCTGGCGGTTACCATCCGCCAGCCTCGCTTCATTTTCCAGGCGCCCGCTCGGCATGCGGACGACGCGGATCGTGGGCGATCGCCGCCACGTTGGTTGCGATCTCGAAACAACGCCCGCTTGGTTTTCGCGGTCGAGCGCTCGGGCGCGGGCCTGGCCTGACTCGGGGTAACGATTAAAACAATTGTTTGCTCTCGATGTCAGTCTCTGGTTTGTGACGCGCGACGAGACGCGCACGTGCGGCTGACGCGTCGCGGGCGCAAGGCAGCGACTTTAACCGTCCAATCGAAGCGTCGCTAGATGCCCACCCAGCCTCATCAGTCTCCGCCTATGCCTCCTCTCCTTCCCATCTCTCCCCGTCTCTCCCTCTCTCCCCCATCTATCCCTCCCCCTCTCTCCCCGTCTCTCCCCGTCTCTCCCCTCTCCTTCCCATCTCTCCCCGTCTCTCCCTCTCTCCCCCATCTATCCCTCCCCCTCTCTCCCCTTCTCTCCCCCTCTCTCCCCGTCTCTCCCCTCTCCTCCCCCTCTCTCCCCGTCTCTCCCCTCTCCTTCCCATCTCTCCCCGTCTCTCCCTCTCTCCCCCATCTATCCCTCCCCCTCTCTCCCCTTCTCTCCCCCTCTCTCCCCGTCTCTCCCCTCTCCTCCCCCTCTCTCCCCGTCTCTCCCTCTCTCTCCCATCTATCCCTCCCCCTCTCTCCCCGTCCCTCCCCCTCTCTCCCCCTTTCTCCCCTTCTCTCCCCCTCCCTCCCCCTCTCTCCCCGTCCCTCCCCCTCTCTCCCCTTCTCTCCCCGTCTCCCCTCCCCTCGTTTTCTCTCCCCGTGCCCCCTGTGCAGTGGACGTGGCCCTGAAGAAGGAGGCGCTGCTGGCGGGCGAGGGTCCCAGCCTGGAGGCCCTGCTGCGTGGGGACGGCAGTGACAAGTCCCGCGACGATGAGCCCAGCCTCAGTGACTACCAGGTAGCTACTGTGACCCACAGGTACCCACGGGGACCTACTGGCACCCACAGGGAGATACGGGCACTTACCCACAGGTACTTATGGGTACCGACCCACAGGGACCGACAGGTGACTACAGGTACCCACATGTACCTACGCTTGCCCACAGGTATCCACAGGTACCTATGGGTACATATTGGTACCTACAGGTTCCGACAGGTATCTACAGGAACCTGGAGGCACACAAAGACAAAGGTCCCTCCATATAGCCTTTAACAGACTGTTGGGGCAAGTGCTCTTCGTGAGTAGCACCTATGAAGGCCGGAACAGCACACGAGGGGGTGGGTGACCAGAACCACCCCAGCCGCCTTTGTCTTCCTAGTGGCGATGTTTCCACACCTCACAGGCCCGGGACCGGTTTAGTTAATCGTCACCGGTGTTGGCCGTGAGCGGGAATCGAACTCGGGTGGCCGGGTTCGTAGCGCAGCGTAGCGCCAACCGCTGCACCACCGCTCCTCATTGTACACACAACCACCCAACTAGATGTATAACAGGCACCCCACAAAAAACACGCTGATCAACACGCACACATCCACTCAACAATAGGTACCCAACTACAACAGGCACCCCACACGCACACGCTGTTAAACACGCACACAGCGAGAGGTACAACAGGTGGTACGTACAGGCAGAGGTGCACCGTCCACAGGGGCGTGGGTACACGATGTGGGGTAGCTGCCCCGCGTGCCTCCTGAGCCTGCCGCGGCTCGGCACAGCCCCCCGGAGCGCGGCTCGCTTGTGTCAGCGGAGAAGGAGCATTGGGGCCGCCGGCCCGGCTTGGACGTCGACGCCCGGCCCTCCCTAGCCTGGCCCGGCCTGGCCCGGACGTCCACGCAGTGCGCTCTCCCGCAGAAGGTGCTGGACCCCGAGGACTTCCTGCTGGAGGAGATCGAGAAGGAGGAGCCCGAGGAGGAGCAGCCCAAGCGCAAGGCCAAGACCAAGACCAAGGTGCGGGCGCAGCGGGCGGCGTCGCCGGCGGTGCCGGCGGTGCCACCACCGTCGTGGGGGAGGGGGGGGGGCGGTCGTGGCACGGGGAGCATTTAGTCCCGAAGTAGTTCGATTGATAAACGACGATCGGTCTGCTGCCGGATGAGAGGTGGGGGGGCCTCGCCGCACCTTGCGGGCCCCGTGGGAATACTCCGCCGTGCCCGTGAAGGCACCGCCGGTTAGCACGGTGGCTGGGAGATGTTAACTCCCTCGCCTGGTATACAGGAGGTCGTGGATTCAATCCCGACGCCTCCTGTACATTTGGAGTTTGCGTTTCTCTCTCTCTCTCTCTCCCCCTGGTCACGTGGATTATTCTCCAGTTCCTCCGGTTTTTCCCTCCACATTTAGAGTGGCTGCTAAAAATTCCCACGTGATGATGAGCCACATTTGGCGGGCTCTCATTTGCGATGGCCAGGTCGCTTCTCAAAAAGGGCTACGTGAAAAAAGAGTTCAGTTTAGCACGGTTGGCTGCTTACGGTGCGAGAGAAGTTCACCGAACGGACCGTACGTGCAGACGCGGGAGAGAGAGCGGAATTCGGCCGCGAGGAAACCAACTTTTGCGCGAGGCGCCGTCCAATCGCGTCCATCCCACGCCGCCCCCCCCCCCCCCCCCCCTCAGGGCCGCAACGGCGGCGAGAGGAAGAAGAAGAACAGCAGCGAGGCGGCTCCGCAGGAGGACAAGGACAAGCCGTACGTCTGCGACAGTGAGTTGCGTGGCGTCGCGCGGTGGGCGCGGGTTTTGGGACTACGTCTGCACCGGTGAGGGGGGCGGGCGGGGGGGAGCGGAGAACACGCTCGCGCCGATGAAAATCGGGCCTGGCTTTAGGAAATTTTCCCCACGCGTAGGCATCGGTTCGTGTAAACCGCATCGCTCCCGATCGCCGGTAGGAACCGCCGACGGCGGAAGGCTGCAGCCGGCGCTCCCGGCTTATTGCTTTGCGCTTCTCGACATGTGAAGGTTCACGGTTGGTACCAAGCGGCCGCAGTGATTACTCCTGCGCTGCCCAGTCCGTCCGTCCGTCCGTAACAAACCGGGGGGGGCGCGCGATGATGACGCTCGTGGAATCCGGTCCAACCCGAGCAAAACGTTTGTGTAAAGTCGCGTCGCCCTCTGGGACGTAGCCGATGATCAAAAACCGGCGTCGCCCAAAGTTCGGGGAGACGCAAACCAGCGGCGAAAGGCCCCGGCCCTCCCCGGCGAGCACCGCCGCTACACCGGCGGCCGCCGCCGTCGCCGCCCGGGCACGGTGGACGGCGCCGTGCCACGGGACCCGCGTGATTTTTCTCACCCGTCGTCGTTGTCGTTGTCGCGGTGTCAGTCTGCGGGAAGCGCTACAAGAACCGCCCGGGGCTGAGCTACCACTACACCCACTCGCACCTGGCCGAGGAGGAGGTGGAGGAGGACCGCGACTCGGAGCCGCGCACGCCGGCGTCGCGCAGCTCCGACGACCGCAAGCGCGACACCGGTAGCACGCCCGCACGCGGCGATGCCAATAACCACACCAATACCACCGCCATTCGCCACTGAGTGACGGTGACGTCACCACGGCGCCTGTGCCAGGCCAGGTGCACTTTGAGGCTACCACGTGAAGCGTCGAAGGCTCGCTGACAGCAGGTCTCGGGGCAGACCCAGTAGGTGCCATGGGTCGACCGACTGAGATGATCGGTAGATACACAACAGCTGTACCCTCTACTGGGCCAACTTTTTGCATTTTAGCCGCCCGGCGCTCCGCTCGTTGTTGTGAGCGTCGCTCCTCTGCCCTCCGTTGTTGCTGGAGGGCGACTGCCTCCAACTGCTCAGTAGCGTCCTTCACGAGCCTCCTCCACAGAGGCCGATCTTGACACTGCAGGTACCGGTCTTCGCAGAACAATAACAATAACAGTAATCGTGCAGGCCAGAATAACCGTAAACATCAAACACCAACGCGGAAACGCGTAGAAAGCGCCACAGCCTCGATGCAAAAGACATTTAGCGGTTCCTGCAGAAGTGCATCGTGGTCCTCCTGCTGCTGTCGGCCGGTCACATGTTCGCTCGAATTCATTTAGACGGCGACCCAAGCCAAAGAGGGACACCCACGATGCAATTATCCGGCAACCGCTGACGATGACGCACGCACACACGCACGCCGCGTTGTGCTCTTATACAGCAGCAGGCGGTCCGTTTGGCTTCACCTCCCTACTCACTCACCCCCACTCCTCACTCACTCACCCCCACTCCTCACTCACTCACTCACTCCCACTCCTCACTCACTCACTCACCCCCACTCCTCACTCACCCCCACTCCTCACTCACTCACCCCCACTCCTCACTCACTCACCCCCACTCCTCACTCACTCCCACTCCTCACTCACTCACTCACCCCCACTCCTCACTCACTCACCCCCACTCCTCACTCACTCACTCACTCCCACTCCTCACTCACTCACCCCCACTCCTCACTCACTCACTTACTCACTCACTCCTCACTCGCTCACTCACCCCCACTCCTCACTCACTCACTCCTCACTCACTCACTCACTCACTCCCACTCCTCACTCACTCACTCACCCCCACTCCTCACTCACTCACTCACTCATTCACTCCCACTCCTCACTCACTCACCCCACTCCTCACTCACTCCTCACTCACTCACTCGCTCACTCACCCCCACTCCTCACTCACTCCTCACTCACCCCCACTCCTGACTCACTCACTCACTCACTCCCACTCCTCCTCGCTCACTCACCCCCACTCCTCACTCACTCACTCCCACTCCTCACTCACTCACCCCCACTCCTCACTCACTCACTCACCCCCACTCCTCACTCACTCACTCACCCCCACTCCTCACTCGCTCACTCACCCCCACTCCTCACTCACTCACTCACCCCCACTCCTCACTCACTCACTCACTCACCCCCACTCCTCACTCACTCACTCACCCCCACTCCTCACTCACTCACCCCCACTCCTCACTCACTCACTCACCCCCACTCCTCACTCACTCACTCACCCCCACTCCTCACTCGCTCACTCACTCACCCCCACTCCTCACTCACTCACCCCCACTTCTCACTCACTCACTCACCCCCACACCTCACTCACTCACTCACCCCCACTTCTCACTCACTCACTCGCTCACTCACCCCCACTCCTCACTCACTCACTCACCCCCACTTCTCACTCACTCACTCACCCCCACTCCTCACTCACTCACTCACCCCCACTTCTCACTCACTCACTCGCTCACTCACCCCCACTCCTCACTCACTCACTCACCCCCACTTCTCACTCACTCACTCACTCACCCCCACTCCTCACTCACTCACTCACCCCCACTCCTCACTCACTCACTCACCCCCACTCCTCACTCACTCACTCACCCCCACTTCTCACTCACTCACTCACCCCCACTCCTCACTCACTCACTCACCCCCACTCCTCACTCACTCACTCACCCCCACTCCTCACTCACTCACTCACCCCCTCCTCACTCACTCACTCACCCCCTCCTCACTCACTCACTCACCCCCTCCTCACTCACTCACTCACCCCCACTCCTCACTCGCTCACTCACCCCCACTCCTCACTCACTCACTCACCCCCACTCCTCACTCACTCACTCACTCACCCCCACTCCTCACTCACTCACTCACTCACCCCCACTCCTCACTCACTCACTCACCCCCACTCCTCACTCACTCACTCACCCCCACTCCTCACTCACTCACTCACCCCCACTCCTAACTCGCTCACTCACTCACCCCCACTCCTCACACACTCACCCCCACTTCTCACTCACTCACTCACCCCCACTCCTCACTCACTCACTCACCCCCACTTCTCACTCACTCACTCGCTCACTCACCCCCACTCCTCACTCACTCACTCACCCCCACTTCTCACTCACTCACTCACCCCCACTCCTCACTCACTCACTCACCCCCACTCCTCCTCGCTCACCACGCCACCTCCCTCTCTCCCCCCGTGGCGGCAGCAGCTGCGGCATCGGTGGCGACCGCGGCGTCGTCGACGGCCGTGGCGTCGTCGGTGGCGGCGACGGCGGCGACGGCGGCGGCCAAGAAAGTGCCGGAGGGGCAGCCGCCGTCCCTGCCCAACACCTACTGCGACTTCTGCCTGGGCGGCCCGCACATGAACAAGAAGTCGGGCCTCTCCGAGGAGCTCATCTCCTGCTCCGACTGCGGACGCTCGGGTAGGAGCCCCCCCCCACCCCCCCGCCCACCGCCCCCCCACCACCCACCACTCACTCACCCCCACAGCCCCAGCCCCGCTCCATGCACGCCCCCCGCCTCGCACGCCCGCACCACCCGGCCCCGACCCGACCGCGACCCGACCTGACCCCTCCCTTGCCAGGCCCAACGGCAGTGGGGGAGAGAAGTGGAATCGTAGACGGGACGTCGCGTGAACCGGACACGGCCGCTCCCTTTGGCCGGACGATTCGGAGCAAGGGTTTTTTTTGGTTTTCCCTCCCCCGGTGCCGTTTTTTGCCGAGGTCCGTCGACCGGTTTTGACCACCCGAGTCTCGTCAGCAGGGTGGGGGAGAGTGTTCTGTCGTCATCAGCTTTCCCTAGCGCAGTCCTCACGCCGCCACGTTCCCACAGCCGGCGGGACGTGTGCCGGCCCCGCCGCTTGAACCGTAACCGGGGCCCAAAGAGGTGGCCCGAACCCATCCCGCGGGAAGTCAGACGTTCCAGACAGCCTCCGCCCCGGCGTGCTTCTCAACCCCCGCAGCCGCACGCTGACAGTCAGGCCAGAGCACTCGCGGGGCGAGAATCAGATCGGCTTGAGCTCACACGGAGTCTCTGGGAGCCTCTGGGAGCCTCGCTGAGCCTCTGGGAGCCTCGCGGAGCCTCTGGGAGCCTCTAGGAGCCTCGTGGAGCCTCGCTGAGCCTCTAGGAGTCTCGCGGAGCCTCTAGGAGCCTCGCTGAGCCTCTAGGAGTCTCGCGGAGCCTCTAGGAGCCTCTAGGAGCCTCGCGGAGCCTCTAGGAGTCTCTAGCTGCCTCTAGGAGTCTCTCGGAGCCTCTAGGAGTCTCTAGCTGCCTCTAGGAGCCTCGCTGAGCCTCTAGGAGTCTCGGGGAGCCTCTAGGAGCCTCGTGGAGCCTCTAGGAGCCTCTAGCTGCCTTTAGGAGCCTCTAGGAGCCTCGCTGAGCCTCTGGGAGGCTCTAGGAGCCTCTAGCTGCCTCTAGGAGTCTCTAGGAGCCTCTAGCTGCCTCTAGGAGTCTCTAGGAGCCTCTAGGAGTCTCTAGCTGCCTCTAGGAGCCTCTAGGAGCCTCGCTGAGCCTCTAGGAGTCTCGCGGAGCCTCTAGGAGCCTCGTGGAGCCTCTAGGAGTCTCTAGATGCCTCTAGGAGTCTCTAGGAGCCTCTAGGAGTCTCTAGCCGCCTCTAGGAGCCTCGCTGAGCCTCTAGGAGTCTCGGGGAGCCTCTAGGAGCCTCGTGGAGCCTCTAGGAGCCTCTAGCTGCCTCTAGGAGCCTCTAGGAGCCTCGCTGAGCCTCTGGGAGGCTCTAGGAGCCTCTAGCTGCCTCTAGGAGTCTCTAGGAGCCTCTAGCTGCCTCTAGGAGCCTCTAGCTGCCTCTAGGAGCCTCTAGGAGTCTCTAGGAGTCTCGCGGAGCCTCTAGGAGTCTCACGGAGCCTCTAGGAGCCTCTAGGAGCCTCTCAGAGCCTCTAGGAGTCTCTAGGAGCCTCTAGGAGCCTCTAGGAGTCTCTAGCTGCCTCTAGGAGCCTCTATGAGTCTCTAGGAGCCTCTGGGAGCCTCTAGGAGTCTCTAGGAGCCTCTAGGAGCCTCTAGGAGTCTCTGGCTGCCTCTAGGAGCCTCTAGGAGTCTCTAGGAGCCTCTAGGAGCCTCGCTGAGCCTCTAGGAGTCTCGCGGAGCCTCTAGCTGCCTCTAGCTGCCTCAAGGAGTCTCTAGGAGCCTCTAGGAGTCTCGCGGAGCCTCTAGGAGCCTCTAGGAGTCTCGCGGAGCCTCTAGCTGCCTCTAGGAGTCTCTAGGAGCCTCTAGGAGTCTCTAGCTGCCTCTAGGAGCCTCTAGGAGTCTCTAGCTGCCTCTAGGAGTCTCTAGGAGCCTCGTTGAGCCTCTAGGAGTCTCGCGGAGCCTCACCGAGCACGGGGACACCACATACCCAGAACGCCCACCCCACAACGCCCGATTCTGAGTCAGAAACGCAGTCGCCCCTGGGCTGGTTAGGGAGCGTCTGGGTGTTCCCGGCGGTCGTGGAAATGATCTGTTGAGTTTCTGTTCCAATAGGATCACCGTCCACACGCGTAACGTTTCAGGTTGAGCGCTGTGTATACACACACACAAAATACACCACACACATACATACACACACATACACACATACCACAAACATACATACACACACACCACACACACACCACATACACACAAACACCACACACAAATACCACACACATACACACACACCACACACACACCACACACACCACACACACCACACACACCACACAAACCACACCACACACATCACACACACACCACACACACACCACACACACCACACACACCACACAAACCACACCACACACACCACACACAAACCACACATACACACACACCACACATACACACACCACGCACACACCACGCACGTGCGCGCGTGCAGCACGTGCGTACGTGCACAACGTCGGGGTGTCGGTGAAGGCCGTTGAAATGAGATTCATCGAAGGGATGGGGCGGGGAGACGCGGTGGCGTGTCCCCGGAGGGACGCGAGGGGCGGTGGTCGTAGTGGTGACGTCACGCCCCCGTCCGTCCGTCCGTGACGGTGCGGCCGCTGGCACCGCTGCCCGTACGTCGAGAGCGCTTCAACACCCACACGCAACACGCACACGCAACACGTACACACAACACCCACACGCACACGCAACACGCAACACCCACACGCAACACGCAACACGCACCACCCACACGCAACACGCACACGCAACATGCACACGCAACACGCAACATGCACACGCAACACCCACACGCAACATGCACACGCAACATGCACACGCAACATGCACACGCAACACGCAACACGCAACACCCACATGCAACACGCACACGCAACACGCACACGCAACACCCAACACGCAACACCCACACGCAACACCCACACGGAACACGCAACACGCAACACCCACACGCACACGCAACACGCACACGCAACACGCAACACCCACACGCAACACCCACACGCAACACGCACACGCAACACGCACACACAACACGCAACACGCACACGCAACACGCAACATCCACACACAACACGCACACGTAACACCCACACGCGACACGCAACACGCACACGCAACACCCACACGCAACACCCACCCGCAACACCCACACGCAACACACAACACGCAACACCCACACGCACACGCAACACGCACACGCAACACGCACACGCAACACGCAACACCCACACGCAACACCCACACGCAACACGCAACACGCACACGCAACACGCAACACCCACACGCAACACCCACACGCAACACCCACACGCAACACGCAACACGCAACACCCACACGCAACACCCACACGCAACACGCAACACGCACACGCAACACGCAACACGCAACACCCACACGCAACACACAACACGCAACACCCACACGCAACACGCACACGCAACACCCACACGCAACACCCACACGCAACACGCAACACCCACACGCAACACCCACACGCACACGCAACACGCAACACGCAACACCCACACGCAACACCCACACGCACACGCAACACGCAACACCCACACGCAACACCCACACGCAACACGCAACACGCACACGCAACACGCAACACCCACACGCAACACGCACACGTAACACCCACACGCAACACGTAACACCCACACGCAACACCCACACGCAACACCCACACGCAACACCCACACGCAACACACAACACGCAACACCCACACGCACACGCAACACGCACACGCAACACGCACACGCAACACGCAACACCCACACGCAACACCCACACGCAACACGCACACGCAACACGCAACACCCACACGCAACACCCACACGCAACACGCAACACGCAACACCCACACGCAACACCCACACGCAACACGCAACACGCAACACCAACACGCAACACGCAACACCCACACGCAACACCCACACGCAACACCCACACGCAACACCCACACGCAACACACAACACGCAACACCCACACGCAACACGCACACGCAACACGCACACGCAACACGCACACGCAACACGCAACACCCACACGCAACACGCACACGCAACACGCAACACGCACACGCAACACGTACACACAACACCCACACGCACACGCAACACGCAACACCCACACGCAACACGCAACACGCACCACCCACACGCAACACGCACACGCAACATGCACACGCAACACGCAACATGCACACGCAACACCCACACGCAACATGCACACGCAACATGCACACGCAACATGCACACGCAACACGCAACACGCAACACCCACATGCAACACGCACACGCAACACGCACACGCAACACACAACACGCAACACCCACACGCAACACCCACACGGAACACGCAACACGCAACACCCACACGCACACGCAACACGCACACGCAACACGCAACACCCACACGCAACACCCACACGCAACACGCACACGCAACACGCACACCCAACACGCAACACGCACACGCAACACGCAACATCCACACACAACACGCACACGTAACACCCACACGCGACACGCAACACGCACACGCAACACCCACACGCAACACCCACCCGCAACACCCACACGCAACACCCAACACGCAACACCCACACGCACACGCAACACGCACACGCAACACGCACACGCAACACGCAACACCCACACGCAACACCCACACGCAACACGCAACACGCACACGCAACACGCAACACCCACACGCAACACCCACACGCAACACCCACACGCAACACGCAACACGCAACACCCACACGCAACACCCACACGCAACACGCAACACGCACACGCAACACGCAACACGCAACACCCACACGCAACACACAACACGCAACACGCACACGCAACACGCACACGCAACACCCACACGCAACACCCACACGCAACACGCAACACCCACACGCAACACCCACACGCACACGCAACACGCAACACGCAACACCCACACGCAACACCCACACGCACACGCAACACGCAAC